CGTCAAGAAACTTTGATCTCATTGGTGATTTGATGCTAAATTGTGTCAGGTTTGTGAGCTGAATCGTTGGTTAGTGTTCTTTCCCTGTTATCCACAAGCTGCTGCATCTTTATAATGTTAAGCTATTGCTTTATTTCATTATTTTTGCAGTTTTAAGATTTCTGACCTAGTTCCCTCTATTTGTCTCAGAGCCATTTTATGGTACAATTTGCTTATACAATAGGGAGAGGAGAAAATTTGTCAGAAGATTTCTATTTTAGCATTCTACCAACTGAAATGCAGGATGTAAGCCTTAAAACTAATTTAGCATTAAATTCTTTGGTGCTTTGGTTTTTCACATTGATGACTTAAAAATCCACTCTTTCTCATTTACCTGGACAGACTAATAAAGTATCTTCAGAACCTCGTGGACTTTTCTATTTAGATGCGCCGCCAACATCTGTGTGTCTACTAATCCAATTAGAGAAGCCTGCAACAGAAGAAGGGGGAGTGACTCCTTCTGTTTATTCATGTAAAGAACCTGTATGTATGAAGAACTTATATGTTTCCACCTTGTTCATCTTCAATCTGACCTCTGATTAAATGTGACAAAATTTCTCTTTTGTTGGCTTGCTTGTTACTTGGCAGCGAGATTTTTACCTGTTGGTTTGCTTGTTACCTGGCAGCAAGATTTTTACCTGTTGGCTTGGTTGTTATCTGGTGGCAAGAATTTTAACTATCGCCCCCTCATCATCTGTCTTTCAACTGGTTTTTACTGTAGTTCTTCCTGTGGAAAATAATGGCTCTGCATCTGCTAGATAAGTTAGCTAATCATTGGCATTGCAATTAATGCTTGGTATTTTAGTTTTTGGGCCAGGGTGATTAACCATTAGCTGAGATGGTGGAGCATTTGGTCTTTCTCTGACAGCAAGATAATTGCGAAATTAGTAATTCTTCAGTGGATTTTCATCCATATTCATTCATCTATGCTCCTACTGCTACATATTACCATACTTTCTTTTATCCATGCTTCCTTACAAATTATAAATGACTTCTATTTTGCTTGCATTGATCCTTTTGTTGCTCTAATGTTTTGGATCAGTTGATTATGAAATTGTTTCTCATAGGTGATTAGAATTCAATGTTTTGGTACGTCTAGTAGGAAGGG